TTTAAAGAAGCCTTGGTAGCATAGTGAATTACAAGCTTGTCTGCTAACTGCAGGGTCAGCAGTTCAAATCTACCAGTCACTCCACCAGAGAAAGATGAGGCTTTCTGCTCCTGTAATGTTCTACAGCCTTAGAAACCGTATGTAACGTCTCTATGAGTTGGAACTAACTTGATGGTATGTAGCCAACCATCTCTCTCCTAAAAGAATCCTGTCAATAACTTGGTTTGTATGTCTTATAACTGTAGCTGCTTTTTCACATTTGTTTGTGAATGAATCCTGGTATGGCACTGTAGGATAAGCACTCAACTGCAAGGTTGGTTTGAACTACAAAGTCAGTGGTTCAAATTCACCAGCCACTCCTTGGAAATACTATACAGGGTTGTTATGAGTCAGAACTGACCCAAAGGCATTTAACAACAACAACATATATCATAAAAATCCAAGTATGGCACTGTAGGAAATGTACTGGACCGCTAACCTCAAGCTACCAACCATTCCTTGGGAATCCTATACAACACTTAGCAACAACAACAGTTTTTTAAATTAAAATGTAAATTTCAGTTACAAACGTGACAATGAAATAGCAGTGAGAGAATGTTATCAAGAGCCCTGGGTGAGTACTCAAAAAAAGAAAGAAAAACCAAGTAAACAAAAAAGCCCAAACTCACTGCCATTGGTTTGATTCTGCCTTGTTGTAACTCTGCAGGAGAGAGCTTAACTGCACTGTAGGGTCCCCAAAGACTGTATATTTTCAATGGGAGTAGACCACATCGTCTTTCTGCCACATAGTGTGTGCTGGATTTGAACCCCTGACCTTAGAGTTATCATCCCGATACCAGCCCACTAAGCCACCAGTGGTCCTTGGGTAAATACCACACCTGCCATCCTGTTAATTCTAACTCATAGCAACCCTATCTAGGGTTTCCAAGACTAAAATCTTTATGACAGCAGACAGCCTTTTCTTTCTCCCATGGAGTGGCTGGTGGATTTGAACCGCCGACCTTAAGGGGTGAACACAGAGTTATTAAATTTCTGGTTTCAGTACTGTTGTTATAAAGTGGTGTTTCCTTTACCCCAGGGCTTAAAATTAATATGATTTAGCCCAGCAAGTTCAATGCTATGGGGAGCAGGAAGTTAGGGATGACAGCCCTTAGTTAGGTGACATTAGGAAGTGGTGGATTTGTGCACTGAAGACGCAACTTTAACAGTAACAAGCAAACTTCTCTTCCTCAGCCTTCCTCATGACATTACTCCGCACCACTCCACCTCTTTCATAATTGTTTTCCTTTTTCTTGGCTCAGGCTTTATGATCTCATGATTCTAGATTCCTCCCCCCCCCCCCAAATTCTCTTAATATGAGACATTTCTTTTTCATTCTCATTTTTTTCAATGTAATTGGTAACAAAAGGAGCGCTGGTAACATAGTGGTTACGAGTTGGGCTGCTAACCTCACGGTCAGGAGTTTGAAACTACCAGCAGTTCCATGGGAGAAAGATGAGGCTTTCTGCTCCAGTAAAGATTTATAGCCTCAGAAACCCAGTACAGGGTCGCTATGTGTCGGAACCAACTCAACGGCACTTAACAACAACAACAACAACAACTATTTGTTATAAAAGTATCATTCCTACTGGCTTCTTGTTATGAATCTCTTGGAAACTCCTTCAAAAATATACCAATGTCTTTAACGTCTGCCTATTCTTGTTTGTTTGTATTTTGGGCTGCAAAGCAAAGGAAATTACCTTTATCAGCTTTTAACTACGTTCCTGTGACTCAGTGACCCCCTTTACCTATTGTAAGATGGCATTTCTACAGTCTCTTCTGTCTAGTTCATCAGCTCCTCTCGGACTGGCCTACGGCTGGAAATAACTTCTTGTTTCATAAGTGCTGAATTGCATTCATGTTTGTAGCTGAGAGGTTAAAGAAAACCGGGAAATGTTTATTCATGTCGACCTTTTATCTTGATACCTATTCTAGCATGTTGTTTACGTAATTAATATTTATAGAACCCCTAGGACCTCTTATTCATGTTACCTCCAAATGTGCAGCAAAGCATTGAACTAAAGGATGAGTAATTAACATGTTGACAGATTTCAGAAAATATCCATAACTGTTTATTCTTCTTACTAAAATCTTTTTGTAGGATTTTGAATTCATATACAAAAACAATTTCAAGCAGAATGCTGCATATAAGTTCTTAATAATGCCCTTACATACTTGTATACTGTATTTACTTAATTGTAGATATAGCATAGGCAAATCTTCAAATGGTATTTTTTTTTCATGTTTCTAAATACTTTTATTGATGTACATTTAACATAGTAGCGTTTTTAAGCTTTCACAATTTTTTTTTTTTAATTAAATGTTTTTATTTTGCATTGAGTGAAAGTTTACAGGGCACATCATCAGCTTCACATTCAACCATTCATATAGCTTGTTTCATTACCTTGATTATTATCACCTCCATATATCATCAGTTTACAGTGTTTCTCTCTATCCTCTTTAGCTTTTTTTTTTGTGGATGGGGGGTGGGTACTTGCCTTTTTGGAATTTACAGTCTTAGCTTTTAGGGAAGGTTTTTACATTTGTCTGTGGATATCCAGGGCTCATGTATGAGATTACTAACAAGCATTACGGAATAATCAGATGAGGGACAGTTTGCTATGTCTACTAGGTAGCTAGAGTCTGATCCTCAGAGCCTATGGTTTGGACGGTCAACAACGCTTGGGCCCTCAGGGGCTTGGCCTCCTGACCGGGTCTGCACTGTCTGCATCTGAATCCTCCTTATTTATTGATTGTTTAAGGGACGCTGCCTGTCTTAGGTCAAATGGTATTTTGAAGTAGATTTTCATTTCCAAATTAAAACAGCTATACAATTTCTACCCTGGTGCACCCCTTTCCCAATCTTAAACCATTCAATGTCCCCTTGATCTGTTTGAACGACTGCCTCTTGGTCTAGGTATAGGTTCTTTTCTTTCACCACACTTATTCAATCTATATGCTGAGCTGATAATCTGAGAAACTGGATTATATGCAGAAGAACCATGCTTGGTAAAGTGTAGGGTCAGCGAAAAAGAGGGGACTCCCAGTGAAATGGATTGACGCAGTGGCAGCAGCATTGGGCTCAAGCATAGCAACAATTATGAGGCTAGTGCAAGATCGGGCAGTGTTTCCTTCTGTTGGACATAGGGTTGCTATGGGTCAGAAATGACTTGATGGCACCTAGCTATAACTGTCAAATGTAATTTCTAATATAAAAGTAATATATGCATACTTTAAAGATATTTTTAACTCTATGAAAACTCAACTATAAACCATTTCACCATGTTTACTTTTTATAATAACATCCCAAACAGCTTTGATCTATCTCTATATTTATGTACAAATGTTACAAGTAGACTGGTTTGTACAAGAGTGAATCAAAGAGTATTGCTACTAGGATTTCAGTTCCTACACACATGGGTTTTCCCAAGCAGACTGTTTAAACAAGTCACAGTAGGTCAGCTCAGAAGGTTATGATGACTGATAAAAATTTCTCAGAGATGCAGGATGATCCTGGGGGCTTATTAGGAAGACATTTTAAGAAAATTGATATCTTCATTGGTGAGAAAAAGGCCAGGAAATTTATGTTGAGGGAATTTTTTTTTTTTTTATCATAACAGTGCACCTGCTTATTCTTGAGGATAGCAAGGGCTGCCTATGAGGATTTTATTTGGAAATCTTACTCTGTCCACCCGATTTTACCCTTTGTTCTCAAAACTCAGCATTTAAAAGAAACACAATCTGAGTTCCTCAGAAAAGTCCCAACTGCTCTGTTTATATGGTTTACATTGAAGAATGCAGAATTCTTTGGGAAGGGTTAGAGAAATGGAGACCCCTCCTGGAGAGGTGTATAGATGTAGGTGGAGGATCTGTCCAGGCACAATCGCGTCACATTTTGATATTTTTGTTGGAAAAGAGTTCTCTGATTTTATAGCAATGTTTCTTGACTTAGCCTCTATTACACTAGTATTAGAAGTAGTGCAATCAATTAAGATTTTGTCACAAAGGAAAATCGCTGTAGGAAGTATGATATAAGCTATACAATAGCTAGAAATATAAGTTCATGTACCTGTGAAGGAAGACAGTAAGAATAATCTGTCAATGAATTACTAAATTTATTACTAAATCTGCCATATGAAATTAGGAAAACAGAAGGATTTATGAGCTTTCCACATTCTCCAGGAAGTTGTCTGTGCTGGGAAATTGCCTGTCTATGAGACTGGGACACACAGTCCAGTGATTCTGTTTTCTTCCTTGAAATTGAAAATGAAAGTTATGCTTTTAAAAAATGACCATAATTGATTATGAAGAAATTATGAAAATGCAAACAGAAAGAAACTATCCATAATCCCATAGACAATAAAAGCATGTCAGTCATTTTTTAAGAAATCATTTTAACAAAATCAGAACATTATAAATACTTACTCAGAACTTGTTTTTTTGCTGCTTGATGATATTTTGTGGCTGCCTCTTATGTCCAAACATATAGATTTTATTTTTTTATATAAAGTTTAATAGCTAAATAGTATTCTAGTTTAGAGTTACTTAATTCATCCCCTGTTTAGGTTGGTGCCCAAGGTATCTATTATAAGTAGTGCTGTGATGGATATTTCCTGATGCACACACTTTTCTGATTATTTTCTTAGGATACGTGGTTTTGGCAAGTGAAATTGTTGTATCAAAGGGTACTTGCATTTGAAATAGGATAATATTTGCCTAACTGCTCCCCAAAAAGGTCTAACAAACTTACCACTCTACTACTCATGGGACTTCAGTAAATGGACAGAACCCCAGCTCTGAATTTGTATTCGGAGAGTTAATTATATATTAGAATTCACATATGAAGGAGGTGTGTTAGGTCACCAGTGAGAGAAATGTTTCTGTTTGCAACTTGGAACAAGTTTAACCATGACACTGTGTTTATTGGGTTGGTGCTGGACAATGACTGTTTCCTACCCTAGATGAGTGACCGTGGAGGGGGTGTTCCTCTGAGGAAGATTGACAGACTCTTCAACTACATGTATTCCACTGCACCCCGCCCTTGTGTTGAGACGTCTCGAGCAGTGCCCCTGGTATGTGATCAAGAAAAGATTAAATGTGTTTTTTGTGAATTGCTTTCCAAGAAATCATGGAAGCCATTGTAGAGGGTGGTCCACAAGGACGAAGAGATCTATTAGAAACAAACACTTTTCTCGTTTAGAACAGCCTGCGGAAAGTTTGCTTTGGAGTTCTCACTGCCAAGCTTGATAGTGATAGGTCAGAATTTTCATGTAGTTAGCATTTTGGAATGCTGTGAATGATGGGAAGAATAAGTGAACCGGTTTCCTAGGATTTGGCTAATACTGATTTAATCTTCATTGTTGATTACCCCACTTGAGTGTTAGTAATTTAATTAGAAAGATTCCGTTTTTTCATAGAGTTCTGAGATGTTTAATGATCAGCTCGAAACAGCTCAAATTATAACCTTTTTGATGGTTATCTTGATCAGCCATATCCAACATAATAAGATCAGTTTCTGAATTGATCCTACCTGTTATTCCATGAACCCCAAAAGAGCACTTTGTCAAATTCCTGTCCTGCAGTCCTAAACAGGATGCTGTCTTGTAGCCAAAACAGAGTCTTTAGCAGACCATTCCCCCAATCCTATCAAGTCAGCTAGTTTTGGGTGTGGAGCATATAGCTAGATCTGTATATTCTGTAGGCATGAGCTCAGTTTCCATTTCCTTTGCCACAGATGGTATCCTCTGGTTGGGGGCAATCTATAAAGGGTACTATGACCATAGCCACAGCATTCTCTAAGTCCATAGATCGTGATACTGGAAGCTTAAAGGCAGTTTCATCCCCAGAATATCTGTCTAATGTTGGAAGACAAAGCACGTTCCCCTCTGTGATGGGAGAGGTACAGTGTGGTCAGGCTTTTATCAAGCAGGTTCTCCTGGGAGAAGCTGCCATGTTGGGGGCTTGGCATTGACCTCCACTGTTAGCAGGTCAGGCACTCAGCCGTGGTAGCAGCCAGATCAGCCTTAGTGAGGGTACCTTGTGGAGCTCTTCTGGAGACTCCTTGTTGAACATTTTCAGGATGGACACCTGCTGGTGGGCTTTTACGAGGACAGAATATCTTTACACTCTAGTGAGACCATTCAAAGCAGACAGAAGGGAACCATGTTTCTCTTGGTTTGCTCTTTTCAAGTCTCTGCCCGGTCAGAATGTTTGCTGCTACCCATGAGTATGTGTGTGTGTGGGTGTGTACTTCAAGTTCTGCTCACTAGGAGGATTTATTTTCACCCTGCCTTTAAGACCCACTCCTGAGAAGGGTTGTGGAAGGCTGGTGGGCATACTGTGAAGGTCCATCCGTGGACCAGGTCCCTGCTGTTGTCCTCTGTAACCCCAGGAGTGTGGTTGAGGGAGAGCAGTGATTATGTAGGTCAAGAACCATGACAGCCAGAGCTCCCTACCTACTTGTGGAATCAGTGACTCTATCAGTCAGGGTCCCAGCAGGAAAGAGGTGGCTAACTCAAATTCGGATACTTCAAGAGAGGTTTATTTACAAAGAAACCACATGATGCAGGTATAGGTAGGGCTAGCCCGGGAACTCAGGACTTGAAGAATGAAGGGGAAGAAGTTGAAGTCCTGAAGAGAATGTTGCAGAGCAGCTGCTTTCTCTAACAGGTCCACTCTAAAAAGGCCACCTCACAGGGAAGGAGCCAGGCCAGTGACTATCCTGACTTCTCTCTGTCTCTCTCTCTCAACTCCTGCTGGGCTGAACCCACGGAATGTAACAGCGTTCCATTCACTGATGTCACCTGTTCACATCAGCTCCCAGGCAGGAGAAGTATGGAGAATGGGCAGTGGATTTGGAGAGCCAAACAGAAAGTCTGGCTAGGAAAGTCAGGTACTAAATGCTCAGTCTTGTCAGAGCCTGGATTTGAACCTGAGAACACTGACCCCTGAGTCTACACAAGCTCTCAACTAACAGTGCAGTCATTGAACATATAACTTGATAGTAAAACCATTTTTACATCTTGTCCAAATGTTTTGTATTGTATTATAGAAATGATAGGACTTGTGTAGGTAAAGAAGCCATTCCGGTGACTGGGAACAAGATGAATAAGAACGTGGAAATGAGAAATGATAGGATATGAGTGAGGAACTAGAGAGCAGCAGATTAATTCTGTGGGATGGAAAAGTGGCAGGCAGAGGAGAGATCTTGTAAACTCCTGTTAGAAGCTTGGATTTTTCTCTCCAAGAATCCAAGAGCTATAGTCTGTCAATATCTCTTTCTAGATTCAGAACACAACTGAGGATTTGCTGTATGAAGTCATGAGCAAGAGTTGTTGGGCCATATGTCTTTTCCACTCTTGCTCTTGAGACAGCCAACAGGTTTTATACAATATTGTTAAAAGCAGTATTGGCCACTGAAGAATGGCCTTTTGAATGACCACAGGGGTCATTCAAAGCTTTCACTTCATCATTGGTGGGTCCTGCTTGAAAGAGGTATTCAGGAATCTCTGATGTAGGTTCTGATAGGCCTGGGACACTCCGTGAGATTGATTGTAAATCGTGAGAAGGTGGTTTTCTGAATGGAATTTTGTTTTTCTCATCAAACAGGCTGGTTTTGGTTATGGATTACCCATATCTCGGCTTTATGCACAGTACTTCCAAGGAGACCTAAAGCTGTATTCCCTGGAAGGCTATGGGACAGATGCAGTTATTTACATTAAGGTACGACTGTAGTCTTCCTTGATTTAATATTTCTTTTGAATGTAAGAAAAGATGCCAATATTTAACTGTAAGTGAAATTGTATAGTTACTTGGTGCCATTTGAATATAAGACTAACAAATATCAGTGTTTTTGATTTCATCTATGCTGAGAGATGAACTCCATTAGTATGGGGGGTGGGAAGAAGCTCTCCTATGTGACATGATCACAACTGTGGTTCATAGGACAGCACATACGTGGGAGTCGAGAATCGTGTATACATACCTTATTTTAATTTTTATATAGAATGTGAGATGAACATTCATCCACCAATCTTTTGATGTATTTCCAAGGCCTTTTCTTTGTATGGAGTACTGCTGTGGCGCTGTGGGATAAAGCACTGAACCCAAGGTCTGTTTGAACCACAAGTTCAGCAGTTCAAACTCACCCAACTGTTCCTTGGAAACCCTATACAAGATCGCTATGAGTTGGAAGCAACTCAGTGGCGCTTAACAATAACTTTTTTATATACCTGTCTACAGATTGGGAGTTCACATAGCCTTTCTTGCAGAAGCCATTACTTAAAATACATTGTGTGTGGTTTCCAGTTTAGTATTCTTTACATACAGTAAAACGCAGCCAAGTGCGAAATCTGTTTTGGATACAGACATACCTGGTTTTATTGTGCTTCATTTTATTACAAATTGAAGCATTTTTCCAACAGCATGTGCTTATTATTTGATGTGTCTATGTCACATTTTGGTGTTTCTCATAATAGTTCAAACTTTTTCATGTTATTGCACACTTCATAGACAGCAATATAGTATACAAGTCACTTTCATATGCACTGGGAAACTACAACAATAACAAATAATATGACTGACTGTACTGTGCTGCCCACTTAATTTGGAATTGAACTTGCCCTGTCTCTGAGTGTTCCTGTATTTAAAAGGCCTTCAGACATATCTTCTGACTCTTAATTTGGCACAGATTTTGTTTGTTTGTTTGTTTCCTTCATGAGTCTTTTCCAAAGTACTCTTCTAAGTTTTCATAGGACCAACAACCTCACCCTGCTTTTTTGCACTTTGTTTATGTAACATTTGATGCACTTTTGTAATTACGATGACAGACTGCATAGTTGCAAAAACAGATTTAGGGAAAAGCACAGGTGATTCTTTTTTTTCTTAAATGTTTTATTGTGAATTATGTGATAGTTTACATGGGAGAACATTAGTTTTACATTCATTCTATCGTATATCGTCTCATTGCCATGGTTACAATCCCCTCCATGCAATCCTTCCCCCGGTACCCCCCAGGTCTTCAGCACACAGTCGCTCTCCCTCTCTGGATCTAAAGTCTCCAGATGCTCCACAGCACCATCTCAGCATCCATGGCACCAATCAAGGCATCGCTGGGTAGGGTCCCGCTCTCTGCTCTTCTCCCTTGATGGCCCTAGGGACCTCCGCTCCTAGACTGAAAAGTTAATCACTCCCCTCCTTGCTATAAAACATCTACCTTTACATTTCCAACCCTCACAATCAGTCCTGATAACAATTATTCACTATTGTATCACAAGAGCCCCGTCTGCATTTCATTGCATCAGCCCCACCTAGACAGATTGAATACTTACTACTCACTGGAGATTCTACCTTCCTCCGTGCTAGGTTCCCTCTTGAAAGCTTGTAAGCCAGTCACTTCTTGCTTTGTAGCCCCCCGCCCCCCATTTTGGGTAGCCAATTACTAAGTTGCCCATCCCTGTCTACTCTGTGTGTGGAGGGGGTTGGAATGATTCTTGCTGTAAGGACTTGTTCCCTTTTATGAGCTACTGTTTCCATAGGTGTAGGTCAAGTTCATCAAATTGTGTGAGAATACTTTTTTTTTTTTTTCCACTTCTTTCTTCTTCTAGTTGAGCTCTGATCATCCAGTCATTGAAGCCAGAACAAGTGGGTATTATCTGCAAGTGTGGGTGTTCTTATGCATATGCCCTCTCTTCTTATCAGCTGGACGCTTCACTCTCCACTCTAGTCCTCTGTGGCTATGTCACTGACTCTCTGGGCCCAAGAGTCCCCAGGTCTTGCCACACTGCTGGTCAACCAGGTCTTCACCTGGCTTCACAGAAGTCTATTGAACATTGTAGGGCTTAGCTTACCATTTCATTGCTGTTTTTCCCTCACTTCCCCTTATCGGTGTCAAGCGTGGTCACCAGTCAGAGCGAGTATTCTCATTGAGTCTTAGTCTTGGAAGGGGGTTTGCACTGAGGGGACCTGACCACTTGCCTTGATGTTTTCTGGGCAAGCAAGTTGCTTGTTCTTGTAGTAACAGTCGGTCTGCCTATATTGTTATGTATTTTTCCTGTAGGTCTTTCTTTCAAGAAGTATCTTCTGTTCTTCTAGCCACTCCAGGCTGGTCTGCTTGTCCTTTCAAGTGGGAATTTCCCATCTCTGGAGATCTGGATGTGGTTCAGGCTTCCACCTATAGTCTTATGTATTGCAGAGGCTCCACAGGAAGCCTCCTTCATTGGGCACCTTGTAGCCCCATTTTAGGTATTCCAATCATTTTAGGTATTCCAATCAGAAGACGGACTTACAAGCTTTCTATGGTGATGCTTTTCGCTATTCCTTTCTCTCCCCCTCCAGTGTCTATTTTATAATATAATGCAAGGAAAACCAAGATTCAAAAGACAGCCAAGCATCTTAACATTATTCCCCCCTGGGAAAAGCACAGGTGATTCTTGAGAAGACTATAACTTACCTGGGGGGAGCAGAGGCACTTAACATAGTGGCCTGGAACATCCAGTATATTTATGCCCAATCCCACACTGCTGTGGAGTTGATCCTGATTCCAACTTGTAGTGACCACCCTATAGGAAACAGTAGATCTGTGCTCTCCAGTTTGCAAGGCTGTAAAATCTTTATGGAAGTAAACCGTTTTATCTTTCTCCCTCACCTTGTACCTGGTGGGTTAGAACCACCAACCTTTCTGTTTGCAGACCAGTGCTTAATCCAGTGCGCCACTGGGGCTCCTCCATGTGTTTTTGCAGGGGGTCAGTATATTTGAGAGGGATGGAGAACCACTGGGCTCCATCAATCGTTTTGGTCAAGTGCAGAGCTTTCCCTGTTCTGGCCACTAGATGGCCCCTATTTTATAGAAAATGCTTAAGCACTTATTTTGGAAAAATACATTTGGGGAAAAAAATTCTTTATCTAAGAAGGTTGTACATTCTTTCTAGATAATATGTTTCCCGCCCTCCCCCCCCCACCTCCATCTCAGTTATGAGGAATTTTAAAAGGGCAACGTGAAGGAAATGTTTTTCCCACCCAGTGAAACGTGTTTATTGAGCCTGTAGATTGAACCATGCTCACATATTTAAAGAGAATATCAGGTGAAAGTTTTTAAATTCCATTTTGGAAAATAATTAGAAGACAAGCGGTCCCAGAATCATTAAAATCATCAACATTAGAGGCCAACCTAAGTATTATTGGAATGAAGTTTCTGGTTCATCATTATCTACATCTTGGGAAATTCACATGGCCTAAAGCTGGATTATAAAGCCAGTTTGAACCACAAAGTCAGCAGTTCAAACTCACCAGCCACTCCTCGGAAACCCTAAACAGGTCGCTATGGGTCGGAGCTGACTTGATGGCGCTTAACAACAACAGCAAAGTTGGAAATTCTACTGAGAAGTCCTCTAATTTTAAGAAGATAATGAGAAACAGTAGTTTATCTCTGATAAATTGAATGTTCCAACGATTTAGAGGAAACTGTCATGAGATAGTGCATTAATGGTAACAATATGTTAGAAATGAAATGATGGTTGATAAAATCACATGTGTTGTGAGTGAAATGGGTGGCTTCAGTGACTGGAGGAGGTGGCACAGGATCAAACCCAAGGCCAGAAGTGTTCATGCAGAAATTAAGATGCTTTAGACATAGTTCTCTATTATTGATAATATTGTTATCATGAGTTTAAAGACATTATAGTGACTGTGGTGCTGTAAGATAAGTACTGGACTACAAGATCAGTTTGAACTGCAAGATTGGCAGTTCAAATCCACCAGCTACTCCTCAGAAACCCTATACAGCATTGCCATGAGTCGGAACTGTCACAATGTCACTGAACAACAACATCAATACTATAAAAAACAAAACAAAACCTTGTAAATAATTGAAATTCTGGATTTCATTAAATGATTGTACAATTACATACACTAAAGCAAAATGATCAATTTCTATAATTTCACATTTTAGCCAACTTTTTCAGCTAACCATCCAACTTTTGGTTTGGGTCATGTTTTGAAAGAGTCATCTACTATACCTATTCAAAATTTCAATCCAGCAACTACCAGGCTGGCTGGCACCAAAGTCGGCATGCACACCGAGCAGTGCCATGGATTTAGCCAATGACATGTTTCAAATATGTACACTTCTTGGGATAAGTAATATTGCATTGTAGGGATTGCAATCAGTGAGATAAAACAAAATGTGTATGGACTTTGAGTGGAAAATTGATCTCTGTAAACCTTCAACTAATATGCACTAAAAAGTTTTTTAAAAACAACACAACAAATAAAAGTGTATGTAGATGTTTTGATTAATAAAATGTAAGCCCATTGTGGTATTATTTAACATACAGTAATTTTTGTGTCATCATGTATTTTCTCAAATAGCAAATTTTTAAAAATTTCAAACTTAGGTGCTGTTTGTTTTTTTAGGCTCTGTCAACAGACTCCATAGAAAGACTCCCAGTATACAACAAAGCTGCCTGGAAGCATTACAACACCAACCACGAGGCTGATGACTGGTGTGTACCCAGCAGAGAACCGAAAGACATGACTACGTTCCGCAGTGCCTAGAGACCCTTGGGATACCTGGGAAACCCAAACATGGCTTTTGCACTGAATTTGGAAGGGACTGTGTCCAGAACTCTACTATTGCAAATACTTCACATGCCATTTTCACAGTTAACATGATGGGGTAGAATAAATGGACACAGAATTCCATTCACGCCTGTTTAACCTCCTAAGGGAGGAAATGGTACCTATTTTACATGTATATTTTCAAGTCATCTGAATATATTTTTAAGCAACTGTGTTTTAGCCTGCTTTTCTCTTTATGGTACTTCAGAAGTTTGGGAGTTTTAGGATTTCTACAGGAAGCTATGTACTTTTAAGAGATACTTTACGTTTATGTCTACCAGATACATTTTCTTGATAACACTGACTAGCTAGCCATCCTTCTGTGGTTTGGAGGAGTTCTGCCATTGACACCTGTAATAAGATGGTCTTTATAAAGGACCAGTGACAAGAAAAACAGAACAGTGGCCCTCTCAGTGTAGAACCAGCTACCTTTCAGCATCTACACAAATTGTCTTCACTCTGAAGTCAATTAAGCCATTTTCAAATTTCCCTGCAAGAGATTGTAATGAGTAGTTCTAGCCAAGGTCACAGGCACTCTAGTCCAAATGTACATGAAGTCAGTGCAAGAGGAAATTTTTCATCTTAAAAACAAGCAAACTAGCTGCTACTAAAATTCTGAAGCAGATCGGGAGGGTAAAGCAGTGACTCTCAAACTAATCGGTTATATGGATATTATCTGGGGGCGTTTTTGAGAAACAGTTTTTCCAGACTCTACCCCACACATTGAATCAGAATCTGTAGGGCTTCCGATTTTAGAGCATTTCCTAGGTTTATCTGATGTCTCGTTTAGTTAATGGAACCACTCTCTTAAAGAGAATAGTGGCCACACGTTTGCTTAAATCATAGATCTTGGAGTTTTGCTTTCTGCCTATTTTCAAGTCAGATTGCTAGATTGTAGGAAAAAGTACCTGAATCTCAGGGCTGTTGCATTTAAAAGATACAGCAGCAAATGAGAAGGAGAACGAAATGACCACAAGGGAACAGTCAGAAAACTTAACGAATGGACTCTGTTGATCATTATGAGCCCTAACATAAGAACATTTTTTTATCAAAATATCTAGACTTTATTCATGGGAAAAAGGTTCATTACAACAAGCCTTTGCATTTGTATGCAATTAATTAATATGTAGTTGACAGATACTTTGGTATACGAAGAGGTTTCAAAAAGTTTGTAGAAAAATGGAATTTAAAGAGAACGGAATGTTCCATGAACTTTGAGAAGCCCCATCAGTATTGGTTTTCAAAACAATGAGAAACAGAGCAAGTTTTGAGACTCATATTTTGGCCCAAAGTTACAAAAAATGTGAGCCAGGGTCCAAGCCATCTCTGTGGATCACTTGATCAGCTGCACAGTCTAAGAAACTGTGAAACCTAGGGGATTGATACTAGTCAGACTTTATCTTCTTTTAAGTGACAGGGAAACACATTTAATATTAAATTTAAATGTGACTACAAGCTGCCATTTTAACCAGAGAGCTTTATTTATCTGGGAAACGTGTTGAGCAAAAACACCTCAGTCTCAAAAAGATTCTGTAAAATTAACAATTCTCTGAGCATACACCTTTCTAGGTTGGGGAGATGTAGAAGGGCAGTGGTCCAGCGCCCTCATCTGATAGATAGGAATCCTGAAACTTCAAAGGTTGTGTGACATCCTTTGGTTTGTTAGCTAGTCTGACCCAACAAATGCTGGAAAAATGGGGTAGCTTACCTAAACTATCATTCTTTAAGTGAAGATTTTGTAGAAAGTAAAAGAATATGTTAATGGACGATTTATATGTACTGTATTTCTATTTTTAAATTGCACTCATATTGATGAAATGTTTTAGGATCCTTTGAATCAAGTTATTCATCTTTTATAAATGAGACATTTGTACAGCTGACAAAGTTGATGTTTATTACTTATGAAAACACACTCCACTTGAGGAAAAAAAAAAGTTTCCTCTTTTTTTGTTGTTGTTGTTGTTAGGTGCTAATGAGTCCGTTCCGACTCATAGTGACCCTGTATAAGGTTTCCAAGGCTGTAAATTTTATAGAAGCAGAAATCCTCGTCTTTTTCCTGCAGAGCAGCTGGTGGGTTTGAACTGCCAACCTTGTGGCTAGCAGTCCAGTGCTTATCTTACATCACCACCAGCACTTTCCTCTTTACTTAAGAGCTAAGAAATAGTATTTGCCTTTAATATATTTTAAAAGTATAAGGGCATTTTACTTTGTTATTGTGGTAACATGCAGAAGATTGCACACAAAATATTTGCAGAGTGAGTTCTCTAAGTTGATTTTAAATCATTCTGCTACCTGAAAGATGTCTAGATTCTGTAGATTCAAAAATGTGTTGAAGAATAGGAAATGGACACCAAGTGATTTTCATAATCTGGGCAGTTATGTATCTGTCAACATTTTTAGGAGGAAATAGTAAAAACATTCTGCCCTATACTTAAAATATGGTATGGTTTTACTGTCATCAGACTTGATAGTGACTACTTTCTTACACTATGAAATCTTCACATGAAGATGTTAAAAATGGAAGGCTACCCTACCACTTGCCTAGATGTCTCCTGGGCAAGCAATTTACTTGTTCGTGTAGTAATCAGTCGGACTGCCGTTAATGTTTTCTACTTTTCCTGTTGGTCTTTGTTTCGAGAAGTATCTTCTGTTCTTCTAGTCGCACCAGGTTGGTCTGCTTGTCCTTTCAAGTGGCGATTTCCCACCTCAGAAGATTCTGGGTGAGGTTCAGAATTCCACCTGTGGCCTTATGTAATGCAGAGGCTCTGCGTTCGAAAGCCTCCTTCACTGGGCACGTTGTAGCCCCATTTTAGGTATTCCAATCAATTATTGGCAGAAGATGGACTTACAAGCTTTCTGTGGTTATTCATTTCTCTCCCCCTCAAGTGTCTGTTTTATAATGGTATGCCAGGGAAACCAAGATTCAAAAGACAGCCAAGCATCTTAACATTTTTCCCTACACCCCTTGTTCTGGCCTTTTCGTTATTGAAAAATAATTCAGGGCCGGCTCTTGGGCTGAGAGTTTCTGTTTGCATGCATGGCAGAAGAATCCACTAGTGGTGGGGATGGGAAGTGTCCACTTGCTGAGGCCCCGCCTCTAGTTACCAGAATGGAGGTGTGCAAACAATGAGGGACCAATGAACAGATACTAAAAAGAAGAAAAAAATCAGAACAAAGAAAAACTGACAAAGTGTATTGTCTACCTTTGCTCTGAGGTTCCTGCGGCATTCCTTGGTGGGTCTGTTCCCCTGCTTGGTCTTGCCATTTGTCTCGTCCAAGTTGTTGGCTCCAGGCCAACGAGCCCTGCAGACGAAAAAGTACATGATTTCCTTCTTTCACTACAAATTCCACTAGCTGTAAGCCTTCAAACTTTTAAAATACTCCTACCTGTGTGGTTCAGAGTTTGGGTTCTCTGCCCTGAACCCTCTTCACCTGGTATTCTGTGGTATGGCTGACTGCTAACTTCACGGCACCTCTACCTAAAGGAAATTTTTATTATACAAGGTTAACTTTTGGTCTCGATCATGATTTTTCTTGCAATCAACCTTTTGCACTTGAAAAGTCTTATAATTGATACTGCATGAAAGATTTTATGCACTTAAGGAAACAACAAAACCCAGAAATCTTTGCTACAGTTTTTTTTTTTTTGCTACAGTTTTGATTAATTGTAGCATTCTCAAACTGCTTAAAGACTTAAACTGTGGATCTTGTGCATCTTTTGTTAGATTTATGTTGCAGACTGTGCAAAGGTTCGAGGCCCTAGAGGCCTGAGTGTAACAGATCTAGCCACTTGGCAGTTAATAGCAAATTGTTTTTCATCAAATTGCTTAGTCATATTTATTTAATTCCAAACATGAGCCCTGGATGTCTACAGAGAAATGCAATATTCCCCTAAGTTTCTAAGGTCAAGATTTTCCCCCTAGAACCAAGGCAGTAAAACTTCCTCAGAGGACGAACAAGGACAGGTTTACTGGGATTAAGCAAGGAGGCTCTGGAGAGGAACTGCCCGGGGTATATTCACTTGGGGAAGAGTGGTAAATTCTGGAAATACGGGATTAAGGACAATGGGGGCAACTCCCTCGGACCACCCTGGGTTCAATCAGTTTGATTCAAGTGAAGCTTAAACCCAGTAAGGAAGAAAGGAATATTGGTTTAAGTAAGGTTTACTGGCTCAACTTATCTTAAAGATTGTCTTGTCTGAATAATACCATTCTTCTTCTGTAAAGATCCCTCCCTGAAAGAGAGGAAATAAAAGACGGACGCGGACTTAAGTCTGTGGGCATTATTGCTTGCAGAGGGCATTAGTGCTTGCGGGGCGTTATTGCTTGCAGGGTTATGAAGAGGCTGTCTGCCAGTTTTGCATCTACTCTGGTCTCCGAGTGTTTCTTTTCTGTCTCGCCTCTCCAGACATCCCACCTAGAGTTAGTCCGAGAAGGGAAAATGTCAGCCACTGAGCAGTCTGTCTGGCAGCTTGCATCAAGCCCGGATGTCTGTCTTCTTTGTATCTGTTTTTTCTCTCTCTATCTCTCTCTCACCATCGTCACCGGACACCCCATCTTCGGGTCCTCACCCCCTTGCCGAGGCCAGACCCCGGCAGATTTATACATTTTTTATTTTTTGGAACAATTACACATGTTCTTTTTTTTAAATAAGTATTGGTTTCTGATAGAGCCTTTTGTTCTATTTACATGTTTGGAAAGAAAAATTAAACATATTTTACTGCCCAATATTCTATAAGTTCCTCACATTTCTTTGTTGTTAAGTGTCATCCAGTCAGTTCCGACTCATAGCTAACCTGTACAGGATTTCTGAGGAGTGGCTGCTGAGTTTGGACCACTGACCTTTCAGTTCAAACTGATCTTGTAGTGAAGTACTTATCCTACAGAACATTTTTTAATCAAAAAAGGCTTTGCTAAAAAAAAAAGGCTTTGCTGTTGTTTGGTGCCATGGAGTCGGTAACGACCCGTAGCGACTTTTTGCACAGCAGAACGA